AATCATAAATGATTATACATCGCCGCCCGTTCATTTCTCCTCCGCCAATATCCCCACCACCGTAACCGCCACAGCCACCACCACTACCACCACGTCTGACACCAGCCGCGCCCATCACTGTCACCTCCGTCACTTATACTACCTCCACCTCTATCACCACCACGTCTTGAGCTACCGATTGTTATAATCAAATATAATTACTCAATCTGTGAACAGGCATATATGTATAATCATTTATGATTAAGCATACCCCACTGCCGCTGGAACGCTGGAACGTTAGGGCGGTAAATGAGAAATATATGACTGAGGTTGAATCTCAAGATCTTGATTTTTTTTAATCTCAAAGTGAACTATATATATATAATATATATATATATATATATATATATATGGTTATGATTAAATGCAAATTATATAATTGTGTGAGTGTGTGACAAATTTTGGACAATGAGATTAGATTTATATATGGATCATATATGGTGTACACTAGTTACAACGGAACGCAATACACAAAAGCATTTTTCTTAATAAAAGAAAATTAAAAATAATAATTATAAGCACATAGCTTGACATTTTTATTCATCCCAATAACAGAATTAAAGATAATATAATTATCTTATTCAAAAGCAAATATTTGTGTATCAAAATCAACTCTTATTCTCTGGATATTTAAAAAATGATATTATATGAATCACACTGAACAGGCGAAGAATTCTTCCAATAAATAGAGAAAGAAGGCCGATGATAAAAAACATGAAAAAGAATACGAGTTCATTCTTAAAGATTGCGGGTTAATTTCAAATACTTTTAAGAATTGAATATTATTAAATAATATGACTATATATATTCTCAATAATAACAATTTGTACGAAAAATAAAATATTCTTAAGGAATACACACATATATTATACAATAACATATCAAAAATTTTATTATACAATGGAACACATTCAAATCTTGTTTCCGGTTCATTCTCTCTCTCTCTCTCTCTCTCTATATATATATATATATATATATATATATATATATATATATATTTAATTCTTAAAGAATACAATTTCATTCAAGATATCTTATTACTTATTAGAATTAACATTCTTTAGAAAAATACGAATGCATTTTATAACACAAGAATATATACAAATTTTGACAAATATACACAACATTCTATACTACATTCTGTAAGAAATTGTTTGTAATATATACATTACATTCTTCGTTTAATATACAACATTCTTGAAAAATATATACAAAAACATTATTGAAAATATAAACAAAAAAAATAAAGTATATAATATAGTCTTTAAGAATCTTTTGTCAAAAGGCTAAACTAAAATACGCAAAACCTACATTCTTCTTCACTATTCATTAATTTTTTTTATCACTTATGTGCATCTTCGACCAGCCAACACTGCATGCAACATTCTTGAACCATCAATTCTCTCTTATTTTATTTTATTTTATTTTTATTTTTATTTTTTTAGCCTTTCATTCTTAAATAATATGCTACTTTCAATATTTCATCTTAAAGAATAACTTTATCATACGCTAGTTTCAGTCTTTCATTCTAAAAGAATACAAAAACCTTTGTTCAACGTTAAAAAGTGAACACAACCTGCAAATCAGATTTAAAGATCACATTAGCAACAATTAGTCAAATACCAAATGAAATCAACAATTAACCAAACTAAATTTAGATAAAAGTTAAATATTAAATGAAATCGGGCCTTTTCTGACAAGGTTTAATAAGTGGATATGTTTGGAAGCAAAAATCTAGTGGAAAAGAAAGAGTATCCATGGGTTTTTTGTAACGACCGGAAGTCATCATGTAGTATGATTATTATTATTATTAAAGTCAATTGTATTTTCTTTAGTATGGAGGACTTAAGGCGTATGTTGGGCGTACAAGGTGTACGCGCGGCGTACATAGGAGAGGCGCGCATCGAGGAGGCTCCATGCGTACGCGGGGCGTAGGGTGTTCAGATGCAAACCCTAAATTTTAGGGTTTGCAGCCTATTTAAACAACTTATAGCCTCCAACACCATTATCCTCTCAGCCTCCCTTGCCCTCTCAGTGTCCATCTCGAACCCTAACCCTCTCATTTGTATCTTGAGCTCATTTTGGAGTTTATTGGTGTGTTTTGGTGGTTTTGAAGAGATAGAAGGAGCAAGAAGTTGGAGAAAGCTTGTAGATCTAGGGGATTAGCATCATTTTAGACTTAATTGAGGTATCAAGCTCCAAACTTGATTATTGCTTGCTTAGATTTGAGTTTTGGGATGTTTTCTGTCACTTTTGGACTCCATTGTTGAGGCTTCTTGTATCTTGATGGTTTCAGACCTTAAGAACTGTCCTTTTGAGCCCTTAGAAGCACTTAGAGTCATAAAAATCGGACATGGTTGGTTAAGACCCAACCGTGCAAGTGTTTGATGGTCACAAAGTCTGTTTTAGGACCAAAATCATGTTTTGACCCCCACCCATGCATGCAAGCACATAAAGTTTGTAACTTTATGGACTAAGATGTCTTTAAGGACCTAGATCTGCATTCTAGATGTGAGAGCTTAATGGATTAAGTCACAAATAGAGCCCCAAGGAAACTGGCCAGTACGTTGGGCGTAATCCTTGTACGTTGCGCGTACTGGATCAATTTCCCGCTTTTGGTGAAGGCCAGCGTACACTGGGCGTACGTGCCAAGTACACCGTGCGTACGCATGCAGAGTGGCGAACCTGGGCTTTTGGGCCTTTGAAGTTTGGGCCTGGAGAGTTGGGCCCCATGGCCCACTATGGAGTTGAGTTTGGGCCTAGGACTGAGAATTATAGTATTTGGGCCATAATGGTCCACTCGAAATTAGTTATTTTGGGGCTAAGGATTTATTGGGCTTAGGGCAACGCCCATTTGAGGAATTGTGCCCAATTTGGAAAATTGGGCCATTAGTGGGCCTTTCGTGGGTCATTGGTGGGTGGGAAGGAAAAGATGGGTTTGGGCCATGGCTCTGGTCCAATTTTAGACCAAGGGTTAAAATGGTCATGCTATTGATAGTCGGGAGTCACCGGAGAAGCTGTTAGAGGTTTCTTCCCGTGATATTCGACATTCAGCATTACGAGGTGAGTTTTTATCCAGTAGGAACAGGTCTACGGCCACAATGCCGGCCCGTATAGATATTAGTAGTTCCGGACCTCGGTCCGATGCCGGGGCAAGTGGTATAATGGTAATATCAGGCTAATCTCAATCCGAATCTAAGAGATGGCTTCAACTAAGTGGTATAATGGTAATTTCAATCTCATTCCTCACTTTTGATGCCAATTCCAAGGTACAAATCAAAGTTATGTTATGGCAACAATGTCTATCTCCAAATGAAGTTTCCCCAATCGGGCTACCGGATTGTGTCATAGTTTCTTAGACATGAGTGTTTGAGGATAATTTGCCACTTCTTCAACATCTACAAGACCACATGCCATACTATGTGGATTTTAGTTTTGATCAATAAAACTTGAGGTTGAACTGTTATGAAGATTTTGATACTAATGTGTGTGTGTGTATATATATATATATATATATATATATATATGTTAATGTGTAGTTGGATAGAAAATACTATGTGGATTTTAATTTTGTAATACAAAAGGGAATGAGATTTATACATGAAAAGAATGAGTTCAATGTAAGTTTCTATAATGAAACAATTTATATGGTTAACTGTATGTTAAAAACCTTAAGCAAGAATGTGTAAAGTATACCAATGTTAAAAAGTATACAAGTGTCCATTATAAAAAATGTCATTTGAGGGTAATATAGTCATTTTGCATAGTCAGTCACATGCAAAATCAAACAACAAATTTCAGTCAGGAGTTAACTCAGTCATAACTTCTAACACAGTCAGCTTCTAACCTGGTCAACTTTAACCCAGTTAGCATCTATCAATCGACCCCTTACAAAAAAACCAAGAAATTAGAATAGGAGAATCAAAACAAATCCTAAACCAGAACAATTGTTGTTCTTAAGATAGATTATACGGTAAGATATTTGAAAATATTTGCTCACATAAAAAACATAATCGATGTTGGAGTGCTCGCAACAACATAGACTACTCATCGTTGGAGTCCTCACTACTCCCTCTCCTCTCTGTTTGCGCTCTTTATCTCCTCTCTCATCCGTTCGCTGAAATGAAGTCTGCAACACCGACCAGCAACCTCCGTGACTCTATTGTCGGTGTGCTCCTCACTCCTCCCTGCTGAGCATCGTAACTATGGTTGTAAGATCTCTCTCTCTCTCTCATGGAATGGAATGGAATTCGATGCTCCCCTTCTTTCTAAATGCAAGCGTTTTCTCTTTCGTTCTTTCTTTCTATCACTAAATTAATACTAGTGTAATGTGAAGCTTTAAAGTTGAAATGCCAACTATAAACATTAAGTCTATGCCTACACCATTATTTCTCTTGAAAATATAGAGAACTATTGAAATACTTTAATGAAAGGCTACAACGGTATGTGTTATTTATTTTTAATATTTTGCCAATTTATATTGGGTTTATTGTTATTAATTACTTTAATTATTTATTAAATTTCGTTATCATATGATTACCAAAATCTAATAGAACAATTTTAGTTACCCTTTTTGTTCAAATGTTTAGATGTTCTAACTTAAATCAAAATAAATTTATTTTTATGTATCTTTTCAACTTTTTTATTTCTGCCCCTCCGTTTACAATATCCGTGTTCCTCCCTGCTATAAATCAATTATCCAAAAAAAGTTAAAGACCAAAAACTATTACCAACACTTCCTAAACAATACACCATTCTTGTAATTTACTCTATACATAGGAATAAAAGAATAAAAGGTAGAAAAATATTTATTGTCTCTTAACTTAATTAATGTAAGACTCCAAGATCTGAGACAAAACAGGTCGTACATAAAATAAGGTTGTGCCATTTTTCACCACAAAATTACCAACAGAAAGCGTTCTAAAAGCATATATATTCCAAAGAAATTGGCAGCAGAGTAACAACAACAAATAGGTAAAACCGACAAAGAAATTCAGATTTCTATGTGATTTAAAGCTAAATCTCGTAAGCTTCAAAATTGTAATGATTCTCAGCTTTCTCAGGATGTTTAGTGATCGCTTAGTTGATTCACGTACCCAAAAATTGAATTTATTGATGGATTTGTAAATGTAAAATTCTAGGGTTTGTGCATAGCAATTAAATCCCGTTTTTCTTGATTTCACCACGTTTATTGTTGCTAAAATAACACTAGATCCATGGATGTGTCTAGGATCTGGGCAATATCCATGGTGTAAAGTTCATATTATACAAAAAATCTCATGAGAGATAATAATTTGAATTCATTTGTAGTGGAAGGTACGGTGGAAATATTAAGTTATGGGGTACACCACAAATTTCACCACAAGGCAGGGAAAATTTAAAAGAAGACACACTGAGGTTTCGAATGGAGGTACGATCTATGTTTCAATCTTTGAGTATTAATTAGTTGCAAGTTTTGTTTAAAAATTATGAATTCAAACTCATTGTTGTATTCGACATCGTGTTCCATAGAAATGTTGCTAATTAATGATAAAATAACGATTTTAGAATATCTATTGCAACTAAACACCTTTTTATATTGTTAGATATTTTGTTTAAATTATTCGTGATTCGTGAATTATGTAAAATTCATATTCTTTTGTAGATGTGACGAATATAAGATTTGGACACTATTTTATAAGTAAACTTCGATGATCTGCCGAGTTGTTGGCATAAAGTGCGAGTTATTGGAAAAATACTATATAAATCATTAAACGATATTGGCAGTTGTATAAATCATAAAATTTGTAGTGTTTTTATAAAAGCTGAAATTATAAGTATAAATTAACCTTATAAGTTCATGTTTGATACGTGTAGGAGTTCCACAACGCAAGATATTTGCAACGCTAGGGGCAACATTGTCTAGGTAAGTTTCATGTGAATTTTTAAGGGGACTCGTTGCGTTAAATTTATTGAACTTTAATTCTTTAAATATTCTTCCTGCTTACACCATGTTGTTGGAAATTGCATGTTGTACACTTTTAAATTGCATAAGCTTTATTTGTTGTAAATTCTCATACGTGGGATATATAATTGACATGCTTAGTGTGTTGGTGTCTAACGGGAGTTTGGTAGAAATGAGCTGACAATTAGAAAGTATTGCACTACTCTATGTATAGTGAATTATCTTAACGCTGATTCTGAATTAAATTATTAAATTAATATCAATTCTCCAAATTAAATTTGTTGAACTTAAGATTTTTATCATCCCATTATATTAAGGGAATGGCAACCAATCTTTACACTTAATTTTTGTTTGCAGATTCTCGGTTTTAATGGACATTAACGATGATTTTAAAAGCGAGATTTTGTTGTGAGTCATTTTATTTTTACTTTTGTAAGCATGCTTGTCTATAGATTATGTAATTAGTTATTATATAAGTTTGTGATTTTGTGATTTCTTTTTTTCAGGTTGACAAGATACCTTCTTGATTACTTCAGGAGATTTGGGTTCATAAGAGCCACTCATAATTTTGCCAAGGAAGCAAATATTGATCTTGAACAACGTATAGTTGTATATATATCTTCACTTTTTACATTATTTTTATTCTTGTTCGTCATAAAGTGATTAGGGATCTTGATTAATGTGTTCTTCATAAATCTTTATTGTTCTTTTGGGGTTGGTGTTTCGTGGGCTATGAAATGTTACCTTTGTTTTCTTCTTAGATAACCAAGAAAGTTCATATATAGACTCTCTTTTGGTTATCTTATTGAAATGGATAATCTTTTTTTTTCTGAGTTATATGATTTTATGATTCCTTTTAATTTTGGTAGCACTCGATGGAACCTTGTTGAGATGTTGGGAAGTGTACTCGAATAATAGAACCAATAATGTGGATTATTGGACCTTTTTCTGGCATACAACGTTGAAAGAACTGAAAGAACACACTTTTGCGGTGATTTTGTAGAAAAACTATTTTTTTCTAAAGCTTTGATTTGTATTTCTAAAATCTCATATTTCTTATGTAATCTTACATAATTGTCAGGGTAAAGCCTTAACTATTACAACACCAAAGCATCAACCCTTGGCTGTTGATCAATCATATACCAGCTTTACAAGGTGATTTGTTGTGCATATTTGATGATAAAATTGTTGTAAAAAAATTGATGGATTTAACGATTCTTGTAGTCATAACTGACAATGAGATGATATTGATTTTAATTATTCATAGATTGCATTTACCCCTTCGACAAGTTGGTGCTATGCATTCAGGTGTAAGAACATTTCTGGATAAAGGTTTGTATAAATTAGAGTTTCATTTATCCTATTTTTTGAGTAAATTACACAAATGGTCCTTATGGTTTGGGGTAATTTGCATGTTTGGTCCCTAACTTATTTTTTTAATTCGGAAGGTCCCTACTATTTGTTTTTGTTGCGCGCTTGGTCCCTGTCTTACCTAAAAAATACTATTTTGCCCTTGACTTTTTTAAATAATTTAAAAAATCAATGGCAAAATAGTTTTTTTAGCTAAGACAGTGACCAAACATACAAATTACCCCAAACCATAAGGTCCTTCCGAGTTAAAAAAATAAGTTAGGGACCAAACATACAAATTACCCCAAACCATAGGGACCATTCGTGTAATTTACTCTATTTTTTTTATCTTGTATTGCATGGCAAATGGGGCCTAAGTGACCTAATCGTACTCTTAACTACATTGTGGTTGCCAATTAGAGTTTCATTTACATATATATTTTTTCATCTCGAGCATATTTTGTGCACGTTGCATATTATCATGTTACTAATGATTTATGAACTGATCATGGTATTTTTACTTTTCAGGCATGATCCACCCTCACCCTGCAAAACGAATTTTATATCGGATGTGAGTCTTCTTGTTTTATACTTGATGATTTATGCGTAATTCTTGGTTTTATTGTTAAAGACGAGATTTTGATGCGATTCAATATATTTTATATTTGTAAGCATAGTCGTCTATAGATTATATGCAATTAATTATATTTGTGTGATTTTCTTTTTGACAGGCTAAAAAGATACTTTTACGATTATTACTTTGGAAGATGTGAGGGTGAATTTATTGGTGATTATCTTGATTAATCTTTAATATTTTATAAATCTTTATTAGTCTTTAGCTATTATCATGCTAACTCAAAGTATCCTATTATCATGCTAACTCAAAGTATGTACAAAATGATGATTTATGCATAATACTTGATGCCTTAACATTCAGGAAGTACAAGTTCTAACTTCCAATCAGTTGGTTTGTATGGTTAAAAGTAACAACTGATTGTTTCAAATTTATGTTGGACATAACAGGAGAAATGTTAACTTTTTTTTTTTCGGATGCATCCAGAGTAAAAAGAAGACATCTATGCAATGGTGAAATGTGAAGATCGAAAAAGGGTTCTGCAGGGGTGTTTAGTAAAAATATAAAATGAAAAATTATGCTACACCCTAATTTGAAGTATCAGTGGAGTGTTTCCACCGTCACTTCAAACCCTTTAGCTTTTTTAAAGTTGAAGTTTTTAGCGTTCTATTTTTAAAATGTTACTTTTAGTCCTTGGACTTTAAGCTTTTTAAAATTTGAAGTTCACCTTCTCAAATTTATAAAGCTGTGTTTTCCCAATATATATATATATATATATATATATATATATATATATATATATATATATATATATATATATATATATATATATATAGAGAGAGAGAGAGAGAAAGAGAGGTGAGTTCCTTTAAGATTAAAAATAAAATAGAGATCTGGAGATTCAACGTCAGTCACATATTTCAAATATGTCGCTCTAACCCCCGGCGTACCGGCGCAGCAGGCTTGGTATAATCATAAATGATTATACATCGCCGCCCGTTCATTTCTCCTCCGCCAATATCCCCACCACCGTAACCGCCACCGCCACCACCACTACTACCACCTCTGACACCAGCCACGCCCATCACTGTCACCTCCGTCACTTATACTACCTCCACCTCTGTCACCACCACGTCTTCAGCTACCGACTGTTATAATCAAATATAATTACTCAATCTGTGAACATACATATATATATATATATATATATATATATATATATATATATATATATATATATATAATCATTTATGATTAAGCATACCCCACTGCCGCTGGTACGCTGGAACGTTAGAGCGGTAAATGAGAAATATATGACTGAGGTTGAATCTCAAGATCTTGATTTTTTTTAATCTCAAAGAGAACTATATATATATATATATATATATATATATATATATATATATATATATATATAGATATATATATATATATATATGGTTATGATTAAATGCAAATTATATAATTGTGTGAGTGTGTGACAAAATTTGGACAATGAGATTAGATTTATATATGGATCATATATGGTGTACACTAGTTACAATGGAACGCAATACACAAAAGCATTTTTTTAATAAAAGAAAATTAAAAATAAAAATTATAAGCACATAGCTTGACATTTTTATTCATCCCAATAAGAGAATTAAAGATAATATAATTATCTTATTCAAAACCAAATATTTTGTTATCAAAATCAACTCTAATTGTCTGGATATTTAAAAACTGATATTATATGAATCACACTGAAGAGACGAAGAATTCTTCCAATAAATAGAGAAAGAAGGCCGATGATAAAGAACATGAAAAAGAATACGAGTTCATTCTTAAAGAATGCGGGTTAATTTCAAATACTTTTAAGAATTAAAAATTATTAAGTAATATGACTTAATATATTCTCAATAATAACAATTTGTACGAAAAATAAAATATTCTTAAGGAATACACACATATATTATACAATAACATATCAAAAATTTTATTATACAATGGAACACATTCAAATCTTGTTTCCGGTTCATTCTCTATGCATATATATATATATATATATATATATATATATATATATATATATATATATATAATTCTTAAAGAATACAACTTCATTCAAGATATCTTATTACTTATTAGAATTAACATTCTTTAAAAAAAATACGAATGCATTTTATAACACAAGAATATATACAAATTTTGACAAATATACACAACATTCTATACTACATTCTGTAAGAAATTGTTTGTAATATATACATTACATTCTTGGTTTAATATACAACATTCTTGAAAAATATATACAAAAACATTATTGAAAATATAAACAAAAAAAAAATAAAGTATATAATATAGTCTTTAAGAATCTTTTGTCAAAAGGCTAAACTAAAATACGCAAAACCTACATACTTCTTCACTATTCATTAATTTTTTTTATCACTTATGTGCGTCTTCGACCAACCAACACTGCATGCAACATTCTTGAACCATCAATTCTATCTTATTTTATTTTATTTTATTTTTATTTTTATTTTTATTTTTTTAGCCTTTCATTCTTAAAGAATATGTTACTTTCAATATTTCATTCTTAAAGAATAACTTTATCATACGCTAGTTTCAGTCTTTCATTCTAAAAGAATACAAAAACCTTTGTTCAACGTTAAAAAGTGAACACAACTTGCAAATCAGATTTAAAGATCACATTAGCAACAATTAGTCAAATACCAAATGAAATCAACAATTAACCAAACTAAATTTAGATAAAAGTTAAATATTAAATGAAATCGGGCCTTTTCTCACAAGGTTTAATAAGTGGATATGTTTGGAAGCAAAAATCTAGCGGAAAAGAAAGAGTATCCATGGGTTTTTTGTAACGACCGGAAGTCATCATGTAGTATGATTATTATTTATATATATACTAATTTACAACTGCATGATGAACAGTTCTTCTTTGTGATTGGTGGGATTTTTTTTTTCTTTATGTTTTGTTTACTTTCTGAATTTAATGTATATAATACTTAATTGACAGATATGGGTCGGTGACTGCTACGTGTTATCTCCTGTAAACCCACCCATTCCCCAACCGATGACATAACGATTGCATTGTTTCTTCCAATAATCACCGCTTCATCTCGATCATCCCTGTTTCTTTCACAGTTCCTCACCGCCTTCCCTTTTATCTCTTTCGTTATGGATGGTTCCCACCGGTATAATAGTCCCCCACCAATAAGCCCATCTCAATCACATGTTTATACTCCGCCACCGTCGCTGCACCACCAGCTTCGGCCTCCGCGCAAGATCAGGTTTTTAATTTCGCCACTGGACCCACCACGCTGCCCGAAAATGTTATCCGTAAAGCCGAATCGGAGCTCTACAATTGGCGGGGAGCTGGAATGAGTGTTATGGAGATGAGTCACAGAGAGAAGGAATTCCTCTCCATCATCCAAAAAGCAGAGTCAGATCTGAGACAGTTACTCGATATCTCCGAAGATTACGCCGTTCTCCTCCTCCAAGGCGGCGCCACCACCCAATCCGCCGACATCCCTCTCAACATCTGTACACCCGAAGATCCCGTTGATTACATTGTGACCGGGTCGTGGGGCGACAAGCCATTCAAGGAAGCAACAAAATACTGCAAGCCTAAGGTGATCTGGTCCGGTAAATCGGAGAAATACACCGCGATTCCGTCGTTCGATGAGTTGGATTAGAACCACAACGCCAGGTATTTGCATATATGCGCGAATGAAACTATTCATATGGTCTTTCAGAAGATCCAGGTGACTAATTGATCTTGATCAGGTAATAGATGAGTATCAAAAGTGTTTGGTTATTCATGGAGGACAATACAAGCTGATAGCACCCAACCATACACAACCTTAATCAAGTGGATAGCTGATGGTTTCCGGATTCCTTTCTGTTCATTTAATCAACGATATTGGAGGTAAATTTTCTTCTTTTAGTTCAATTTCGTTGTAATTTTACAAGATTGTTGCTGCGTGTTTCTTGAATGCCTTTGTAGTTGTAAATATGATCTAATTTCAACGATTTGTATCAGGATCTATCATCAGGTTGCTTAATTTTTCAAGACACGGCGTGTTGAAAAACATTTCATCAGCTCTCAAACCCTTAAGCGAGAAATACACAGAAGACAAAGGAATCAAATCTGTGAGAAGTCATGCCCACCAGCTGTTTGATATAAGTTCTCAGTTGCAGTATAAACTGAACTGGTAAAGTTACAAATGGTTGAACTGCTGAAGTTTTCTTCTAAAGTCACTGGAAAGTTTTTTTTCCTGAAAGTGATTGAAATTTCTCAGACGGTTGAGGCAATATCTTTATAGACAATGCCATATGATGCAAAAACAACGTCGGAAGCATATGTGTTTGTTTATGGTTCGATAACAAATTCTTCATTTATTTCTAATTTTCTCCTATATTTCGATGCATGTTGCAGAAAACGAAGCCAATGGTGGAAAAGAAAGGTCTTGGGAAGGATAAACAAGGTATCACATAACATTACTGTTGAAGTTCTTGCATTTTGTCTTTTGTTGTGCATATAGTTTTTGTAGTTATGCTAATTATGTTTTTTTTGGCTATCTTATAAATCATTTGGTTTTCATATTTTTAAAATCTGATTTAGATTGTTTCTCTACAATGTGAGATTTATGTTTTTATTTTGATTTTCTTTGTTTTTGGAAATTCTTTTTTCTATTGAAGACATCTCTTTCATAAATAAGATGTACATTTATGAATTCTTTTATATTGTTATTATGTACAATACCTATTTCTTTCATTCCAGATAACAACACCTAATTACCTAATAGATTGATTTTGTTGTGTATTTTCAGGAATCTTGAGAAGGTAAGGATACTAAAGTATCCTGAAAAATGAATAATTACATGATAGGAATATCTTTACAACCTCCATTACCCGGTTGAAGAAGGAAAGAGGAGTTAGGAAGTGCTTTTGTCTTATTAAAAGTATTTAAGGTTTGGATATAGTTTTATTATTCTGTTGATTTTGAAATGAATTTGTGCTTTTGTTTTTTATCTGATCTTTCAAGTTGGAAGACACATAACGAAAGGGCTAAATGTTTGTTTGTCATCAAAAGAATGTGTGTTGCTAATCTTTTCATTTAATCTGTTTAGGTCTAAATGAAAGAAATAGCATTGTACTACAGATCTATTATAACATTTCATTTGTCTGCTATCTCAGAAAAGTTGAACAACATCTTCAACATTTCTTTCTCAGTCATGCTTAACTATCGATCAAAGGGGAATGTGACTTTGATTTTTTTAGTGTGCAACAAAGTCAAACCTAAAAAAAGAAAAAAAGAAAAAAGGAAAGGGGAGTTCTATAATACCCATTTTGGAAAAGAAACATCTCTCTTTTTTGGTTCTCGGAGTACTGGGCAACAAAAAAGGAAGAACGAACAAAAATGTTTTTTTTTCTTTTTGTTTTGTTTTTTGCTGCTTAATTCTCAATTGGGGACCAATCTTTTGTTCGTTTGGTTCTTGGTTGAATTAGCACACATGTTGAATCTAGGATTTTAGTGTCTTCTGTACTCTTTACACTTAATTTTTCTCTGACTAAGTTTTTTAAATTAACCCTTGGTAAATAAATATAAAAGGTTTGAACATCAACAATTTTGGTTCTTTAGTTTTTATTATTTAGAGATATTTATTTCAGTTGCTTTTGTAGTTTGTATTTTTCTGAATTTAGATGGTAATATTGTAATTGAAGAGAAATATGCATGGGAAAAAAGTCAGATCATTGATATGTATTTAAAAGATTGCCCAAATCTCCAAATATCAGAAGTGCAATTTCTCCGCAAGTAAATCTCCATTTTCAATCTTTCTCATACATTTCATTGAATTTTCTAATACATTTGTCATTCTTTCCAATAGACATGCAAGTTATTTTAATTCTAGACATACTAACTGCTTTTTCATTTTGAAAGATTGATCCAACTAACATCTAATCTCATTCCCCTAAATTATACATCTACATACACTTCATTTCATGGGTAAGTCTTGCCTTTTTTTTTTGTTGATCAAAGTTCTTATTCCGACATATTACATTGTGATTATGTTTGCAGAACTCCATCAATTGGGTTAAAAAGTTGTTCCTACTATCGTAAGGACGGTTGCTCACTTGGTGATGCCAAGTCTAAGGTAGAACATATGACATTCTTGATCATAATGATATATCTAACTGATCTGTGTGTGAATTTTAACTAACCACTAATACTGGTGGGGGATAGGTCATAATGTAATTAATCTGTGTGTGTTTTTTTTTTTTTTTGCGACTCATGTGCTCTTAAGTATGAGGAGAAAGGTATCTTGCATTCTGAGGGTTTATAATCAGGTAAAGCTGCTGATCATTTTTTATAATTTGAAGGAAATGAATAACACAAAACCCGCAAACAGATTTTTTTTAAAATTCAGCAGCGATTTCGAGGAAGGAAAGAAGATATTTCAAATCCACAAGGAACCAATGGATCTTGCTATCCAACTGTTGTTCATACTTCATCTTCCTGGAGCAAGGTACCAATGATTTCAATTACAATTGAACTATGTATTTCAAGCTCTAACCTTGGAAAGAGTTTACCTTCTTCTGATCAAAACAAAACGATTTTTAATCTACACTGGATGTATTAGCATATGAAAGTGGCTTGAAATACTCAAGGTATGTATTTGATATTTGTTTTTCAGTGTATAGAAACCAAGGGCTGATTTGTCTTTTCACAGGGAGGCTTTTGGTGACTTTAAAGATGGGTCATTTGATCATGAGAAATGTGATTCCTTTGACTAATCAAACTTTGTTGACCTAGATTGGACAAATGAAAGGTGTTAAAACTTCACCATTGAACCCTTCCCTCTGTATTGTATGCAATTTACATTAGCCATCTCCTTCAATGATGTACAACCAAAAAATTACCTTGGAGCATACGCTATAACATTGTACTTTGTTTCGTTTCAAAAATAGTAGAATGCAAATCCAACCCCGCAAAGCGGGGATTCTTCACTAGTTATTATTAAAGTCAATTGTATTTTCTTTAATATGGAGGACTTAAGGCGTATGTTGGGCGTACAAGGTGTACGCGCGGCGTACATAGGAGAGGCGCGCATCGAGGAGGCTGGGCGTACGCGGGGCGTAGGGTGTTCAGATGCAAACCCTAAATTTTAGGGTTTGCAGCCTATTTAAACAACTTATAGCCTCCAACACCATTATCCTCTCAGCCTCCCTTGCCCTCTCAGTGTCCATCTCGAACCCTAACCCTCTCATTTGTATCTTGAGCTCATTTTGGAGTTTATTGGTGTGTTTTGGTGGTTTTGAAGAGATAGAAGTTTGAAGAAGGAGCAAGAAGTTGGAGAAAGCTTGTAGATCTAGGGGATTAGCATCATTTCTGACTTAATTGAGGTATCAAGCTCCAAACTTGATTATTGCTTGCTTAGATTTGATTTTTGGGATGTTTTCTGTCACTTTTGGACTCCATTGTTGAGGCTTCTTGTATCTTGATGGTTTCAGACCTTAAGAACTGTCCTTTTGAGCAATTAGAAGCACTTAGAGTCATAAAAATCGGACATGGTTGGTTAAGACCCAACCGTGCAAGTGTTTGATGGTTACAAAGTCTGTTTTAGGACCAAAATCATGTTTTGACCCCCACCCATGCATGCAAGCACATAAAGTTTGTAACTTTATGGACTAAGATGTCTTTAAGGACCTAGATCTGCATTCTAGATGCGAGAGCTTAATGGATTAAGTCACAAATAGAGCCCCAAGGAAACTGGCCAGTACGTTGGGCGTAATCCTTGTACGCTGCGCGTACTGGATCAATTTCCCGCTTTTGGTGAAGGCCAGCGTACGCTGGGCGTACGTGCCAAGTACACCGCGCGTACGCATGCAGAGTGGCGAACCTGGGCTTTTAGGCCTTTGAAGTTTAGGCCTGGACAGTTGGGCCCCATGGCCCACTGTGGAGTTGAGTTTGGGCCTAGGACTGAGAATTATAGTATTTGGGCCATAATGGTCCACTCGAAATTAGTTATTTTGGGGCTAAGGATTTATTGGGCTTAGGGCAACGCCCATTTGAGGAATTGTGCTCAATTTGGAAAATTGGGCCATTAGTGGGCCTTTAGTGGGTCATTGGTGGGTGGGAAGGAAAAGATGGGTTTGGGCCATGGCTCTGGTCCAATTTTAGACCAAGGGGTAAAATGGTCATGCTATTGATAGTCGGGAGTCACCGGAGCAGCTGTTAGAGGTTTCTTCCCGTGATATTCGACGTTCAACATTACGAGGTGAGTTTTTATCCAGTAGGAATGGGTCTACGGCCACAATGCCGGCCCGTATAGATATTAGTAGTTCCGGACCTCGGTCCGATGCCGGGGCAAGGCCGAGGAATGTTTGTATGCTTGATGTCTTCGTGATTCTTGCATGTTTTTGCTTATGTGTTTCCGAACTTCGGTTTGATGTCGGGGCAAGCCTGATGTATGTTATGTGCTATGTTATGTGTTTATGTTATATGTGTTGATATGCTTTGTATATCGGACTTCGATCCGATGTCGGGCGGGGCCCGATGTAGTGGGCTAGGCCCAGTATATGCTTTATGTGATTATGTGTATGGTATGTGGTAGTTTGGGGAGCTCACTAAGATTCATGCTTACAGTTTTCAGTTTTGGTTTCAGGTACTTCCACTAGCAAGGGGAAGGGCTCGAGATGATTGCATGACACACACCGCAGTTTCTTTGGCCTGGGATATTACTCTGATATTTGATATGTGATTTGGATACATTGACACTTATTTTGTTATGATGTTTTGAGTATTGTGACTTATGTTTTATATATCGAATGGTAATTATGGTTTTCTTAATGTTTTAAAACAAAATTTTTGGTCATGATTTTTGTGTCGTTTCAAGTTGGTATCAGAGCCTTGGTTTGAGGGATTTGGGCGCACTCTTGGGTGTGCCTGAACTCAAACTAAGGAATTGGTATAGAAGTTTTCAAAAGAAAATCGTTTTTATAAAAGGAACTTAAAAGAGAAAAGAGTTTTGAAAAAAAAGGAAAAAGGGTGTGGTGCATGCAATCAGCCGAGGTTAAGTAAGTTTCCCAAACTTTCCATACAAGTTATTTGATATGATATGACTATGTGTTCAGCATGCTAGATTAGGGCTAAGGATCTAGGAAGGATGCCTTGTATGCCATTTGTGTGAGTTTTGAGCAGTATGCTAGTACTGATTAGTCAGTAACATGATAGCCAGAGTAGAGTATGGATACTCAATGCCCGAATGTTGCTTTCTTTGTGCTTATAGGAGTTCTAATTATCTTTAATTAACTAGTAAACGAATACGTTAAAGTTACATATTATAAGGACTAAGTAATTTGAGAAGGCTAGGTTTTAATGCTATTGCGCAGCTCTTGTTTGAGTCCTAACCGTTGTAGTGAGATACCTCTCATTCGAAGAATTATCTAGTCTGATTGATATGTAATTGTATTCGTGAGCTAGTTAGGGAAAGTTAGCAGGGACTTCTTATGCAGCTGATGGCGGAGTGTAGGTCAGCAATTTCCCCTACGGCAAGCCTAGGAAGAGAGTAGCGTATGTAGAGGAAGTAGTAGAAGGGACTTGGTGGAGTCAAGGCAATTCTTGAGGAAAGTACGGATAGATGTGGAAGGTAGTATGGGCCCGTACTACTGAAAGCAGAGGTTCCGTACTCAAATCAAGGAGGGCTAAGATGAATCTGGGAACCTTATTTTATGAGTAGATCCCTAGAGTATAATGAGTTCTGATGATTTTATGTTTTGTTTCAGTATGGTGGTTCTACGCCCTAGACTAGCAGTAGGCAGTTCAGGTGCCGGTGAGGGATCAGGCTCGGGCTCTGGAGCCAAGCAGCTAGATGACCAGATGAGGGAGTTCATATCCATCTAAGATTCGGAGTTTCCTTGGTTTAGCGGGTTACTATCCTACTGTCCTACTGACCCGAATGACTAAGAAGTCGGTGACATTCTGCTGGGGGCCTGAGCAACAGGCGGCCTTCGAGATACTCAGACAGCAGTTGTGCCAGGCGCCGATTCTCACTCTGCCAGAGGGTGTGGAGGATTTCAAAGTATACTGTGACACTTCGATCACATGTTTAGGTGCAGTTTTGATGCACCAGGGTCACGTGATAGCATACGCTTCGAGGCAGCTGAAGCCTCACGAGGCTAACTATCCTACGCATGATTTGGAGTCGGGGGCTGTGGTTTTCGTCCTCAAGATTTGGCGGCATTACCTCTATGGGGTTCGTTGTACCATTTACACGAACCACAAGAGCTTGAGGTACCTTATGGACCAGCCAAATCTGAACATGAGGCAGCGCCGGTGGTTAGATGTGGTGAGGGATTATGATTGTGAGATCCTTTACCACCCCGGCAAGGCCACTGTAGTGGCCGATGCCCTGAGCCGCAAGGCGGTGGCGGCTCCGATACGAGACATATGTCTGAGGATGACAGTGATGACCCCACTGCTGGAGCAGATTCGAGAGGCGCAGGTTGAAGGTATGAAGAAAGAGAGCCGGAAGTGTGAGAGAATTATAGGCCAGGTGGCCTCATTTGATTATGATAGTCGTGGGATGTTGACCCTACATGGGAGGGTCTGGGTACCCTATTGGGGAGGTGTACGGCATGTATTGATGGAGGAGGCCCACAAGTCCAGGTTCTCCATCCATCCCGGGGCGAAGAAGATGCACCGGGATCTTCACCCCGATTATTGGTGGCCCTGCATGAAGCGGGATATAGCTGTTGGATAAGGTGTCTAAGTCCATAACTATATTTGGTATGTACTTGACCCGAGAGTAGCATGGTCCATTTGGGTTGCATTTCACCGGGACAATTTGTAGGATGGACTTTTGAGAAGAGGTTATGATTTATTAATATATTATAAGTTCTAATATATTAATATGAAATCATATTATTTAATTAGTATTGATCAAGAATTAATTTAGAACTAAGTTTGTGATCAAAAGAGACTAATTAAATATATGGGCTTGATTGGTTAAATCATTCATTCTTGTAAAATGGGCTAATGATTCATGATTCCTTATGTTGGGCTAAACCCATGGTGTGATCCATGGATACTCCATGGAGGTTTTAACTCATGGAGCATGAGGGATATGAAAAGTCATGCACATTAGGGTTTGCATTGTGTAACCCTAATGTAGCCACACTATATAAGAAACCCATGTATGCATGAAATCGGCACCCTAGTGATCTTGTGAGAGCCATAGCCGAATTCTTGAGTGCAAAGTAACCTCTCTCTATTCTTCCAATTTTTGGTGGTGATTTGTGGTTCCATTTGAGGCGTTCACACTATTGGTGCTAGGCTCTTAAAGCTTCAAGGCTTCAACTACAACAAAATGTATGTCATTCTACTAGATTTTTGTATTACATATACTTCATTATATGCTAGCTTGGATGAAACCTTGGAAAAATGAAAGTTTGCATGTATTATAGAGAAAACATAGATCCAAGGTTTCTAGGGTTGCATGCACACCTTAGGAGTGTTAGAATGCTCAAAACCCATCAGTGGTATCAGAGCCAAGGGTTGTTTTCCTATATACTTGATGCTACTTGTTGTTTGAAGTTGAAAAAATCGAGTTTTTGGCATTCTGACTGATGAACTCGCCGAGTCCACTGATGGACTCGACGAGTCCATGTACAAAATCATCAACTCGACGAGTCTAGTTCATGGACTCGCCGAGTTGGCTAGGCAGGGTGTTGAAAATCGATTTTTAGGCCACAAATGGATAGGATCATTACCACAAACTGTTTTGAATCATAAAAATGTGTTTTTTAAGATATGGTAATGATCATGCTCATCCATTTGAAACGTAATTATCAATGTTTCATGTTTAGTATTAGTTTGTGTGATTAATCTATGTACATGAAACTTGATTGATTTGAATTTCCATGTTCATATGAGTTTGATTGAATCTTCCATGATTATTTGATTAAATTGTGTTAGTTAAATGATTTTAAATACTTTTAATGGACTCTATAAC